AAACCACACAGTTCTAGAAGGAGTTAGAGCATCTGCAGCACCATATTAATTTCCAGTCTTCTGCCACTGGACTGATTCTGATGAACCCAGTGCACAGATGTTGACGTGAAGACTTAAGGATGACAGTGGGAGAGGCTCAATTTTGTGCATCTGCATTTGCAAGGGGGCAGACCATCCTCCATGAACACATTCACAGAATAATAAAACCCATGTGGGGCAAGGTTTTATTAAACAAAGACTCCTTGTATTAACTGATGAAAAAATTGCACAAATGAAGGGCTATTCTCTTGCTTTTCTGGAAACAATCCATCAGACATGGAAAATAATTCAACAAAAAGCAGTGTTGTAAAAGAATCACATTGCTACAACACCAAGACTGGAAACACCCATGTTGAATTTATCTTTGACATCTCAGTTTCTGTTTCTTATGAATGTCTCATGGTGTGTTCCCCCCATCATTTAGTCACACGCTACTTGGCCTTGTCCAGCATCAAGTGTAAGATGCTTGCTGAATAAGGACTTGCCCACATACTGGAATGCAGTAGCAAGAAATTAATACATAGGGCCTCTTCATTCACTAAGTCCATCTAAATGTACAGTTAATGAAGCACCTTTACTGTRGAAAGTAGTGTACACTAATACGTAAGAAAGATCAGCAGAATTAAATTTACTGCAGCAACCTTCATTTCAGAATTGTTTTAAGAGCTTTGTTTTTTCAACCCTGGAAATTTTTTGACAGAAAAACACTCCAGGCTCTTACAGCATAGTAACAATGACAGAAGTCAAGGAAGTCCACAAAGGCTAGAATTTCAGGCCAGGAAACTGGAATTCGGAGTTTGTGCCATTCTGCCACGTGCAAAGTCCTTGTCTGCAGCTGGAAGTTCTGGATAGAAATGGTTCATTTTTCAAACTAAAAAACAGTAGAAGCATGGTTGTTTTGAAGCAAATCTTTCAGATACTGCATCACTTCAGATCAATACTCTTTCCTCCAGATCTACATGCTCCTCAGAATGCTTACTTGGTCAAACTATTAAAGGCCCACAAAATAAACAGCATGTATTAGGTGTGCCATAAAGCACACATAAATGGCTTGTGGGAAGGATGATGGAACCAAGTMATAAAAATAAAGGTTTCTCAATTCATCACCCTAGCAATGCAGGGGAAATTGCCTCTAGTGAATGTGGCAGAGAGTGCTATCTGGCAAGAATGGYTCACTGCAGGTAACTTCATGACAGGATGGCCAAACAGTAGTATGTGTGATGCCCAGCACAGACCTCAAGCTCAGCATTTGGGCAAAAAAATTTGGAAATAACTGTGGCCTAGCGTTTCCAGTCTCAATAAATAGTGGTTAACAATAAACTCACAGGAAAATACTTATTTTTGCCTGATTACCRAAACTAAAGATTAGCAATATAAAGTTTCTTACCCTTCTCTTCATCTAAATCATGAAAAGACAATATTACCATAAGCTGTGACTCAAATGAAAAAAGTATGTTTTGCTTCAGGTACAAGGGTTAAGGTCCAAAGTACAGGAATCACCATCACAGGCATCAGTTATTTGTTTTCCTACTTACCAGAGTATCAAGGGGCAAATTTCTGACAATGTGAAAGTTAAAGCTAAAGCCTGTTTGGTACAGTTGGGCTAGATCACCACCTCAATGCCCACCTGGACTAAAAAAACATCATGAACTCTTTTTCTAGAATATGTCAATTTTAGTGACAAGACAGCTTATACAATTATTAAAGTTACAAGGGCTTTGAAAACCATGTGGGTCATCAGGTCCCACCCTGCCAGAACTGTAGATGTKCAGGGATGGACATGTAGTGCAAATACCCAGCTTTCATCCCACACACTCACTGTCTAGAAACTGCAAAATGAAACCTGCAGTACACAGGCCAAACCCTTCACAACATTTGTTGTGGATTACCTTATATCCGAGGTAGCAAGTTAATAAATAGCAATAAGCAAGGGAATACAAAATACTGCAGCTTAACTGCGTTCAGGATCATCAGACATCATAAGACATCCACTTTCTGTGGATGAGACAGAGATTTTATGTCTAAATCTAAAATTCATAATCTCAGACAGAGCCAGATTTTCAAGCAGCATGAACTCACAGCTGCTTTAGAAGGGTATAACGATCTCAGGATATATTTTTTGCCACTGTGTGGTGGGATGTACACTTAGGAGAGAGAGCAGCAATGTGCAAATCCACACTAACACACATGCAGAGAAACACAGAAAGGAAGAGAGATGCTCCAAGCTAATGAAKCTATTGAAATTGCAGAGATTAACATGCTGCATTTGGCAAGTGCATTGCACAAGGGACAGTGTTTCTGTTGCAAGAGCACATGATATGAGGTCACAAATGTGGAGTATCACCTAAACCATCCTTGTGGATATCAAAAAGTGCTATGAATGGAGCACAGCTTCTATTCAGGCAAGGCATAAATGCAAGCTTTGGGATAAAGCACCCATGCTTGAAAGTTTTGACAAGCTTGAGACACAAAACTACCATAATGAATTCCATGAGAATCTTTAAAGTTCTCCATTTGTTTAATGCAGGTATCTTTCAATTTACAAGAAATTTCACCTGCTACTTACATTTTAGGCAATTATAATTATCAAGATTTGAAATATTATAACATATGTAATTTTTGCTTTTTAATTAAATGAAACTAATACAAACTGTACAGATACCAGGATCTTTTTAGCCATGTATCAAGATGGACTAAATTGTAAACAACATACATGTGAAAGAGGAGAATCAAGGATTTGTGTACAGCTAGAATTTCACATTGCTGCCTTGGTGTTTTTCCAAAGGAYTGAAAAGTAAGCGTAAGTATAACTAACAAATTTGAGACCAACTGTAAAAGTCTGGCATGCAGTGTAGCCAGCTGGTATTACAAAGTACCTGAACATCTGCAAGAAATGTTGATATAACTCACAGTAAATATAATTTAATTTTTTAACACTATGAAATATACATTTTACATAATGATAYAGATAGCAACTCAGTGACATAATCCAATAAAGCATACAAAAGCACTCTGACACAGTGTGGATTCAATCCCAAAACAGCTCCTTTCCTATACCATTGCCTCTGCAATGGTGAATTTGTACCGCTTGCTGCTGCTTGTTAATGAGAAATATTAAATGGCATCACACAGATAAAAACCACGTGCTTTTACTGCAAGCCCATGCTAGAGGATGTCTCCTTGTTTTTGACATACATTTTCTGCCAGCCAACTTGCTGCTTCAGGAGACTTTGCTGGACTCAAAWCATTAGCCTTCAACTCATGGTTAATTAGAGTATTTGTTTCTCTCTCATGCCTGTTTATTTCTTGGTTTGGCAAAATCCAGTTTTTCAAATTCAAATTAATGCTCATAAAATGCTGCCCTGACCTCCCTGAAATGGAAGTAGTTTAATAAGACTCTGACTTAAATGTTTTTGCCACAGAGTACCCACTGTAATTCTCCATGACAACAAAATAGCAGGTGCAAAGGACTGCTCAGTTTAACTGTAGCAAAATCTAGACATTATCGAGCGTGTGATTATGTTGTTATTTAGATGGGATAAACTAAACARCATCAGGTGGAATCAAAGGTGACACAACAGAAATTGCCTGCTCGTATTCAACACAAACTCCAAGACTGTAAGGTGTGAGGGGACAAATGAAACTGAAAATTAGTCAGAGAAACAGTGTCACAGTAACATCATAATACCATAACACTTATATGGAATAATGTCTCTAAGGGAGATGGATAGCAAACTAAACTAGCTAGCTCTCTTTGAATGGAAATGCAAATACTTTTCTCTGGGCCATTTCTTGTGAAGAAAGGCCTCAAGAAAAGGATACCACCAATGCCTGCATTACAGGACCTGGGGTCTACATGGAAAATTAAGGGTATTCTAGTGGCACACCTGTTATTGTAGAATTAGAAAAAAATTTTGCATTCATATTTGCAGCCTTTACACACTTCTGCAGCCCAACCAATTTAAACATGTATATAAAATGTGCATGGAGTTGATACGGACTTCATTGCTCTGTCTGCTTCCCAGTAACCTGAAATACTGGTTGCATGAATTTGAAAAGCTGTGTCAATGCAAAGGTTCCATTATCCTGTTTATGTCTGCTCCTGTAAGCAGCTGATGCTGCAAGAACAGGTCCAGAAAGACCCGTTTAAAGGAACATCTGGCAAAAAAACAAACAAACAAACAAACAAAAAAAACAAACAAAAACAAAAACCACAACAGTTTAAACAAGATGTCCCACTAATATCCCATCGTGTGACCTGGGGGTGTGGGGTTTGGCCCATCCAGGTGTCCCAGGCATGGCAGGAGCCCCAGGATGAGGCCGTGAAACACTGACCCTTTTCCTAACAATGGGCATAGGGACCTGCGGCATAGCCAGGGGACTGGACACCCAGAGACAGAGCTGGAGCTGACGATGCCCAAATCCAGACTTCAAAGATTGGTCTCGACGATGTTGGAAGTCTTTTCTGATCATCCTGAATGGTGCTGTGATTCTGTGACGTTCCTGCCCTTAGGCTATAAAGGGTTTCCTTTCTTTGGGGTCCCTACATGGAGGCGGCAGCTCGAGCTGGAGTTTGCTATTTATTTATTGCATCATGATTAATTATTTTAAGGATCTGATCGTCTGAGCTTCTGCTATGGGAAACCTGGTGTGACTGTSAGTGTGGGAGGCTGTGCAGCTGCCAAGGTCCCAGCTCAGGTGGTGCGAATGTGAAATGTCACGGTAAGGGTGGCTTCTGGGTAGGACAGGGAAGCTCCCCTGAGAGCTGCTGTTTGGCCGACCCCAGCAGCAGGAGAACGCCCACTCCTCCCTCATTGCGATSCAGAGCGGAGGGTAGCGGGGCCTGCCCCGGCCTATCACGGGCTCGGGGTGAAGAAACACCGGGCGAGACACGGCCGGTGCCCGGGGCGAGGGGCGGCAGGGGCCCGCCCCGAGGCCGGGGCCGCGCTGACGGGCGGGGCGCCCCCGGGCCGCCTCCGGGATCTATGTGTCTGCGCTCGCCGCCGGCCGCAGTGGCCATGGCGCTGAGCGGGGTGCGGGTGCTGGAGCTCGCCGGGCTGGCGCCCGCGCCGCTCTGCGGGATGATCCTCGCCGACTTCGGGGCGCAGGTGGTGCGGATCGACCGCCTGTCCCGCTCCGGCGGGGCCGTGGACGTGCAAGGCCGCGGGAAGCGCTCCCTGGCGCTCGACCTGAAGCGGCCGCAGGGCGCCGCGGCGCTGAGGCGGATGTGCGGCAYGGCCGACGTGCTCATCGAGCCTTTCCGCCACGGTGAGGGGCCGGGGACCGCAACGGGGCGGCGCTGCGGCCGGGACAGCCCGGCCCRGGCCGTGTGGGATCAGCGGCAGGGCGGAGCGGCACTGAGCGGGGCTCGGTGCTGTGGGGCTCCCGGCAGTCTGGGATCTCTGGGGCACGGGGCGGGAAGTGGGCAGGAGCAGCTTYGGAGGGATATTTCCTTCCTTTGGAGTGGGTGACGCCTGCTGTGTGGCGGGTTTCCGCGGTGGAGCGGAGGGAGGGGCCGCGGAGAGTGCTCGCACAGGGCCCCATTCCGGGCCGGGCTCTTGACGGGCAGGAGGATGGCCCAGCCCAGGGTTCGCTCCGAGTTCGGGGCTCTGGAGGGCAGGGGCATGTCGGAGCCTGGGAGTCACACCGAGCTGGGGCTAGCGATCCTGAATGATGTCTTGAGCTGCTGGTGAAGTCCAGCTCACATTTGTACGGTCGACATGTGGGTCAGAGTCTGAGTATACAATTCTTCCGAAGACAACAATGTGACATTATGGTTATACATTTACAAAGCACGTATCCCAGGAAGATGAATATAACAGCACGTGTTAAATGGAATAGTGTGATTCTCTTACAAAGGGTCACTGATGCAGGATCAGAACCAAGCTATGAACTACAGTCTTCATCTTCAAACATTACATTCATTTTAGGAAGTTGCTTTTCACAAACTAACCATTTTCTGCCAGTCTTAAGTCTAATTTATGAAAACCTTCCTTGAGTTTTTGCAAATACTTCCCATTTTTAACATAAGGTTAAACATAAGACAAATTCTTCAAACACTTGATATTGAACTATTTCATTTTTTCAAAACAGTCTTTTAGAGTCAACTTTTGGTTAATTTTTAAATTACAGTATGCATGTTCWCTAATTTACTACGTTTAGGGGTGCTGAACATCTAATTTTCAATAGCAAAATTGGCGCTATTTTAAGACCCATTGACATATCAAGTCTAACATGCTCCCTTTGTTCATAAGCCATACACAGGCAGTTACCTGATGTTTTTTTCAGTATCCTCAGTGTTCCTGAGGATGCTGTTCTGTTGGGAAGGGTCAAGGTTGGGTTGGACMGGGCTCTCTGTGCACAGATCTAGTTGAAGATGTCTCTGCTCACTTCAGGGGGTTGGAGTAGGTGAGTAGGGGATTGCAGGCTCCTTGCAATCCAAACCATTCTGTGATTCTGTGATTGTSCTTCATTGAGGAGCTAGCTGGACTRTTTGGGGGATTTTACAGAAAGTTTAGAAACAGGAGACCTTATCAGTCAGATATTGCACATTATAGATTGTGTGTTACAAGTAACTATTTTTGTTCAGTAAAGAGGGGTTTATGGTTTTTATGTTTCTTACCTTAAAATTTTTTGTTTTATTCCCTAGAAGCTGAGCAAACAAAATGAAGACATTAAACTCCAGTTCTTTGTAGCTAATATCATGCTTTATAGCTGATTTTTTTTTTCCTTATGAAATTTTGTTTTCTTTGGTTTTATGGGAACTTGGGTTTTTGTTTTTTTTGTTTTT